GGTTGCTGTGAGCTGTAATGCCACGGCACTCTACCCAGGGGGACAGCTTGAGGCTCTGTCTCAAAAAAAAAAAAAAAAAAAGAAATACTGGATTATACTCAGGACTTTCTATTGTCCCCAACTACAATTTGGCAATAACATAGTGTCAAGAGGTAGGGATGGGGAGTAGAAGAAGAAATCTCTGTATTACTCTTCTAGATAGGAGAGTCTGTCTGAGATATATTTTCAAGAACTTGCTTCTAAATAGTCTGTAATTCTGATTCAGCTGGACTGGTATACTTGGTATTTGGAAGTTGGTGAGAACCCTGAATTTGCTTATTTACTGGTGATTATGATATATCCTGGGTCATTATCCTTTTAATGACCTAGGCCTATTTTGTTCATATGCTGTAGTCTGAATGGATAGATCATCTCTGAAAGTATACTAATTTTTTTTTTTAAGCTGTGTAGTCTTTCACCATCTTATACTCTCAAAGCTCTAAATACCCTAAACCTGATGTCTCAGTATATAATGGCTTTGTCAAACTTAGGCTTTTGTATTTAACAGTCTGCCACAGTGGATTTTTTTGGTTTTTGTTTATTTATTTTTTTTGGTTTTTTTGGTTTTTGAGACAGAGCCTCAAGCTGTCCCCTTGGGTAGAGTGCCATGGCTTCACTGCTCACAGCAACCTCCATCTCCTGGGCTTAAGCGAGTCTCCTGTCACAGCCTCTCAAGTAGCTGGGACCACAGGCGCTCGCCGCAACGCCTGGCCATTTTTTGGTTGCAGCCATTATTGTTGTTTGGTGGGCCCGGGCTGGATTCGAACCCGCCACCTTAGGTGTACGTCGCTGGCGCCTTAGCCACTTGAGCCACAGGCGCCGAGCCATTGTTTGTTTTTTTAAAACCGAGTCTCACTGTGTTGCCCTGGATAGAGTGCCACGGCATCACAGCTCACAGCAACCTCAATCTCTTGGGCGTGAGCGATTCTCTTGCCTCAGCCTCCCAAGTAGCTGGGACTACAGGTGCCCGTCCCAACACTGGCTGTTTTTTGGTTGCAGTTGTCATAGTTGTTTGGCAGGCCCGGACTGGATTTGAACCTGCCAGCTCAGGTATATGTGGCTGGTGCCCATGCCGCTGAGCTACAGGCGCCAAGCCTGCCACAGTGTTTTTATTACTTATTACTGAGATTTGTCTTTGTCAGATGACCCATAGAAACCTTTATGGGAAGTTGGAGCATGGGCGTTTAAGAGTAATAACATGATCATGAATCTGGCTTTTAAAAAATCAGACATATGCACACAGACATGCTGTTTAGATGTTTCTGTCCCGCCATATGATGCCAGCTGCATCGGTACTGACTGTAAGTCTTCCCTGTGTTCAGATGTGCTATTAACGGAGATTGCAGCTGCTATGGTATCTCTTCCCAGAAAGCTTCTCACATCCTAACTGGACATTCCATTGGTCACAGTTAGATGGTGCCTGCTCAGCTCATAGCTTTTCTCTGCAGCAAAAATGTTGCTTTCCACATAGCAGGAAAATATGTGTGTGTGTGTGTGTGTGTGTGTATTTTGGCTTTAATTTATTGCCAGCCCCTGTGGAAAGAGGAAAAAAAGATTAAAGAGTAGTTTAGTAAATAGCAGAATGCTTTCTGTTGAAAATCAATTATTGCCATATTCACTATGACACAGGGCTTCTTGAGTGACAGCTGGGACAGCTCAAAGAAAAGTAGTTGATTATTTTATTGTGAGATTTTAATCCTATAGCTGATAGGGTCAGCACTAACCAGAAAGATCACCCTGCTTCTTGTCTGGATATGAGCAGGGAACTCTCAGACATCTGAAGGAGAGAAAGGGTTCTCACATGGGTAGAGAAGAAAATGAAAGCAAAAAAAAATAAAAGAGGCCAGTTGGGTCCAGAATCAGAGGAAATGAGTTTTACAGCCATGGCTCTATGGTAAATTCTTTGTATAACCTTGGGCAAGTTTCTGGAGCTCTCTGTGAAGCAGGTTTGTCATTTAAAAAAAAAAAAAAAAGGGCTGGGACCAGGTGCTCTCTAGCTGTGACTGCTGGTTAGGGTCCCTTCCAGCTCTGTTATTTGATGGTTCTCTGCTCCCATTTTTTTGCACAAGAGCTGGGCATGGAGTGAACACAGTTCCAGTGGGCCTGATTTTCCAGATGGGAGTCATCAGCCCTTGAGAAGGAAGGATATTACAGACTGAGTATCTGGGCTGTCAATTACCTGCTTTCAGAGAAGCATGCCTGGGGCTACATGAGAGCTCTAGCTGTATGCAGAACTCTCACTGAATTAGATTTCCAGGGCCCTGCGTAAGTGGTAGCTATGGATGTGTAAACCTGCAGAACACAAATTCCTGTCTATAAAGCCTTGGGTATTAAGTTGACACAGTGTGAGCTGCCTAATGGTCCCTCTTTGTTCTCTTAATTGTGTTCCTAAGAAGAGGCCAGGAGTAAGTAATAGGGGCAAATGGTTCATCTTAATGAAATAGCTTTTAGCTTCTAGGAAGCTTGTACTAAGTGGAAGTTCCTGCTGTGCTTAGCAGAATTTTGGACAGACACTATCCTGTTGCCTTTAGAGTGGCAGCCTTATTAACAAACAGGAACGGCAGTTTCTCATTTAGTTTGAGACTGGGAAAGTCCTTGTTGTCTCATTAGGTCATAGCATAGTGAGCTCTGCTACGAAGAAGCAAAACCCTGATGGATCACAAATGAGATGCATTTCCAGTGAGCTGTGGGACATATCAGTGTGGGAGGAAGTTTCTGTGTTTGCCAAGGAATCACATTTGTCAGGTTCCATTATTGGCTAAGTGGAACAGGGATTTTCTCTCACTTCCTACCTCCTTGTTCACAGTATGTTACTTGTCCAGCCAAATTGCTCAAAAAAAGATCTTGTGCTTTGGTTTGCTCTTCTAATTGCTTGTATTTTTTTTTTTTTTTTTTTTTTTGAGACAGAGCCTCAAGCTATCCCCCTGGGTAGAGTGCTTTGGCATCACAACTCACAGCAACCTCCAACTCCTGGACTCAAGTGATCTCTTGCCTCAGCCTCCCAAGTAGCTGGGACCACAGGCACCCGCCACAACGCCTGGCCATTTTTTTTTGGTTGCAGCCATCATTGTTGTTTGGCGGGCCTGGGCTGGATTCGAACCTGCCACCTTAGGTGTATGTGGCTGGCGCCTTAGCCACTTGAGCCACAGGCACCAAGCCAATTGCTTGTATTCTTAATACTAGTTCTGATTCTTAGTCTGCCTGTGAAACACACTGGATTCTTAGGGCAGCTGGGCCAGAATTGTCCTCTAAAACAAGAATTCATTCTTTCAGTGTAGCTGTAGCATTATCCATGGCATTTTCTGCTTGGTTTGAGGGAAAGCTAGGTTACTCTGATACTATGACTTAGCTGAGGCCACTACACCCTCAGCTGACCAAAGTCTTGGAGTTGGCAGGAGTAGGAGGCAGTTCTGGTTCAGTTATTTTATCAGAGACACTTGGCTATCTAGATTAGGGATTTTTCTGTAGACAGAGCTACTTTTCCTCACTGAAATTCAAACTTTCTAGCTGCTGGACTCTTCAGAGCACAGATCAGCAGAAGTAATTTAAAACTGTTTTTATCATAAATGGGGTAGGACGCCAGCTTTTGGGAAATCCTTCCCTGTAACCCCCGCCCTGTGAAAAAGGTTCATAAAAATAGAAATGGACTTACTGAACACTTGGTTTCTAGTAAATTGTAGAGAATTGAGGGTCAATCATTTGGTTCTGACATAAGAAAGTGGGAAGGGCCTGGCACAGTGGCTCAAGCCTGTGATCATAGCACTTTGAGAGGCTGAGAGCAGTGGATTTCTTGAGCTTAGGAGTTTGAGACCAGCCTGAGCAAGAGCAAGATCCCATCTCTACTAAAAATAGAAAAACTAGCTAGACGAGATGGTGCATGCCTATAGTCCCAGCTACTTGGGAAGCTGAGGTAAGAGGATTGCCGGAGCCCAAGAGTTTGAGGTTGATGTGAAATATAATACCATGACATTCTACCCAGGGTGACAGTGTGAGAGTCTGTCTCAAAAAAAAAAAGAAGAAGAAGAAAGAAAGTGGAAGGATTCCAACCTTTTAATGGTATGTGTACATATTAGGAAAGAAACATGGAGACAGCTGGCCTTTATGGTAGAGCATGGTTAAAAGCTGCTTGAGAAGTATCTGCAGAAAAGAGAACATACAGACTACTGTGGACATGGGAGAACCAAGGGAAGAAAGGATCTTGGATTTTATTTATCATTTTTTAAAGAACGAAATGAGGCAAGGAACGTGGAAAATTCTAATCAAAGGCCACTGAGATTTAAGGTACAGATATATATTCAGAAGAGCAGTTGTGACTTTATGTGACACTTAAATTATTCACCTTCTCTTCCCTGTCTCCTTTCTTCTCAGATGAAAAAGGAGCCAATAATTTTGAATTTGCTCAACACCACTTGTCTGGGCACGAGATGTACTGGGTATTTCTCTCTCGTAGGCCCTGGCCATGAGACCCAGGATTCAGGGGAGTGCAGCCAGGGGAGAGGATGAACACCCTTATGAGCTGTTGTTAACGGCAGAGACAAAGAAGGTGGTGTCAATGGACGGAAGAGCAAAAGGTACATTCCCCTCAACTCTCTAGCAGAAACAATTCTGAAAGGATTTTCAGAGTTCGTGATCCTGGGTGGAAGGGGAAGATGATGAAGCTATAATGTCCCTTGAGTGGTGACAGTGGGTTTCATGATGGTCTAAGGTTGGGATAGAGGGTTCATTATGGCTTTGTTTCAATACCTGAACTGTGCGCCCTGGGTTGGAGTTGGCTGCCATCTTCATCATGAGAAGCAAGCAAAAAGTTAGGTCAGACAAGGTGATAACTCTGGGGAGAAAGGCTGCCAGCGATGTGGCAGAGATTGATTTGGAGTCTCAAATCATAAACCCTTAAGTTAATGCTGTGAAAAAATAAGCAAAACAAGTCAGTCTCTTTGGGTTCAGGCTGACAGCAGACTCTGCTTTTGAGTCCTGACCTCAGAGTGAGAGACTCCTGGGGAGGGGCCCGTGATTGGCTGCCACCCTGTAACTAGAGTGCTCTGTTGCCTTGGCCTACTTTCATTGCCTCTGCAAATTCAGTTTCCTCTGTACGGGAGTGAGTGCTGCAGTACTCAGATCCAGCCCATCTATGTAATGCCATTACGACAGAGGTAAGTGTACACTGCTAGAGAATTTGTATCAACTCCTGTTCTCCTAAGAAAGAACAAGAAGGGGTAATGCAATTGCTACAGTTTTAAGGAACTCTTGTGGCCTTTCCAAGCTCTCTATAGCTTGCAGGTATTAGGTCCTTTGTGGGATACTTATTCAACCCTAAGACAGTCCATGGTTAAGGTAAGAATGCAGGATAAGATGGTTTCCTTTAAGATGCTCTTTGCTAGACCTATCAGAGGGTAGGGGTGGTAAAACATATGCATCTGTGTATGACATTGTAGACTTTATTTTTAATGGTCCTGTTTAAAAGGTTTTCTCTTCTGGCATGTAGAAACTTTGTCATATTTGTAGTAGATTTTGGTTTTATTTTGTAGTTTATTGTTTTCATTTGGAGCTGTTAAAAATAGTTGTAATTTAGATACGGTAAAACTTATCCTTTTTGTGTGTATGGTTCTGTGAGTTTTAACAAATACAATTATATAACTGCCACCACAATCAAAATATAAAAGAGTTTCATTAGACAAAAAAAATTTTCCCAAGTCCTTTTGTAGTCAGCTTCTCACCCTTTCTTTATCCCTGGCAACCACTGTTCTGATGTCTGTTTCAGAAGTTTTGCTTTTTCCAGAATGTCATATAAATGGAATCATACAGCCCATAGCCTGTGAGCTGGTACTTAGCATAATGCATTTGACATTCATCCATGTTGTTGCTTGTGTCCATAATTTGTTCCTTTTCATTGCCAAATATTATCCCATTGTATGGATATACCTTAGTTTATCCCTTCTCTAAAAGAGAGACATTTGGGTCATTTACAGATTCTGACAATTACAAATAAAGCTACTGTCAACATTCACACAGAGACTTTTGTATATACATAGGTTTTCATTTCACTTGGATAAACATGAGTATACCTAGAAATGGAATGCTAGGCCCTAGAAAATATGTTTCACTTTATAAGAAACCACCAAGGCATTTTTCAGAGTGGTTATACTGTTATACAACCTCAGCTGCTATGCATTCTCTTTAGCACTTAATATTGTCAAGTTTTTAAACTTTTAACCATTCTAATTGGTGTATAGTGATGTCTCAGTATGGATTTGATTTGTATATCCCTAATGATTGATGTTTTTGAGCATCTGTTAAAGTGATTATTTGTCTTCCTTCTATCTAATAAAATGTCTATTCATATCCTTTACTTATTTAAAAAAATTACTTTGTTTTCTGATTATTGAGTTGTGAATTCTTTTTTTTAATAACTTTTTTAATTTTCATGATCTTATAGGGTATACATATTTTGGTTACATAGTTTTCTTTTGTATATTTTGTTTTCTTTCTTTCTTTATTTACTTGAGTAGATTCTCACTCTTGTTGTCCAGGCTAGAGTGCTAGGGCGTCAGCCTAGCTCATGACAACCTCAAACCCTTATGTTCAAGTGATCCTCCTGCCTCAGCCTCCCCAGGTCCATAATGCCTGGCTAATTTTTCTAGTTTTAGTAGAGACAAGTCTCACTCTTTCTCAGTCTAGTCTCAAACTCCTGAGCCCAAGCAGTCTACCTGCTTCAGCCTCCCAGAGTGCTAGGATTACAGTGGTAGGTTTACTGAGCCACCATTCCTGGCCCCTTTTCTACATTTTGAATCAAAGTTATACGTGTTCCCTTCACCTTGAATTTGTACATTATACCAGTTAGGTGTGAATTACTCAACTACCCCCCCATACCAACTTGATTTCCATTGAGTTTTACTTCCATATATGCACATAAGTATTGATCAACTAGTTTCAATTTAGTGTTCAGTACCTATGGTGTTTGTTTTTCCATTCTTACAATACTTAGAAGAATGGTCCACAGTTCCATCCAGGTAGTTAAAAAAGATACTAGATCACTATTTTTTATGACTGAGTAGTATTCCATGGTATACATATACCACATTTTATTAATGCGCTCATGGGTTTCTTGGGTTGTTTTCACACCTTTGCAGTTGTGAATTGTGCTGCTGTAAACATTCAAGTGGGAGGATCTTTGTTGTAAAATGTCTTTTTCTCCTTCCCATCTAGGGGATTGCTGGGTCAATAGTAGGTCTACTTTTAGTTCTTTGAGATATCTCTTTGCTACTTTCCATAGAGGCTGTACTAGTTTGCAGTCTCTCTGATAGTCCCAGCATTTGTTGTTTTAGGAATTTTGATAAGACCCATTCTCATGTATCCCATTATGGTTTTGATTTGCCTTTCCCTGATGACTTGGAGACAAGGAGCATTTTTTTCATGTGTCTGCTGGCCATTAGACTATCGTCATTTGAAAAGTTTCTGTTCATGTCTTTGCCTACTTTTTAATGAAGTTGATTTTTTTTTCCGTGCTAATTTGCTTGAGTTCTTTGTAGTTCTGGTTATTGGCCCTTTATTGGATATATAGCATGTGAATATATTCTCCCATTCTATAGGTTGTTTGTTTATTGTGTCCTTAGCTGTGCAGAAACTTTTTAATTTGATCAGGTCCCATTTCTTTATTTTTGTTGTTGCTACAATTCCTTTTAGAGTCTTTTTTAAATTCTTTACCTAGGCCAACATCTATAATAATAGAGTGTTTCCAGCATTTTCTTATAAAATTCTTATATTTTCATGCCTTAGGTTTAAGTCTTTTATCCATCATGAATTAATTTTTGTGAGTGGTAAGAGGTGTCTCCTGTTTCAGTTTTTTATATGTGGCTAACCAGTTTTCCCAGGTCCATTTAATGAATAGAGATTCTTTTACCCAGTGTATGTTTTTGTCTGCTTTGTCAAAGATCAGATGGGGATATGAGGATAGTTTCATCTCTGGGTTCTCTGTTCTGATCCATAGGTCTATGTCTCTGTTTTTGTGCCAGTATTATGCTGTTTTGGTTATTATAGCCTGGTAGTCTATAGCTTAAAGTCTGGCCTCTCAATTTGTTCTTATTACATAAAATTGTATTGGCTTTCACAGTCTTTTCTCATTCCATACAAAGTGTAGAACTACTTTTTTTAGATCTGCAAAAAATGACATTGGTATTTTAATGGGAATTGCGTTGACTCTGTCAATCACTTTGGTTAGTATAGCAGTTTTAACAATGCTGATTCTGCCGGTCCATGTTAGGATTTTCCATCTTTTTACATCCTCTAAGATGTCTTTCCTCAGTGTTTCATAGATCGCCCTATAGAGGTCTTTCATATCCTTAGTTAAATACATTCCTAGATATTTTGAATTGTTTATATATTCTAGATACAAGTTCTTCACCAGATATGTGATTTTTCTCTCAGTCTGTGACTTGTCTTTTTATTCCCTTAACAGTGTGTTTTGAAAACCAGAGTTTCTTAATTTTGATAAAGTTCAGTTTATCCTTTTTTTTTAATGGACAAGGTCACAAATATTTTCTCCTGGGTTTTTTTTTCTAGAAATTTTATAGCTTTAGGTTATACATTTAGGTCTGTGATCCGTTTTGAGTTAATTTTTTGTTTATCATATGAGATATGGATCAATATTCATTTTTGTACATAGAAATTTCCAATTATTTCAGCACTATTTGTTGAAAAATGCTTTCTCCATTGAATTGCCTTTGCAAATTTGTTATTCTTTTTTTCAGAGTTTTTTTTTTTTTTTTTTTGAGATAAGAGCCTCAAGCTGTCCCCCTGGGTAGAGGGCCGTCGCATCTCAGCTCACAGCAACCTCCAACTCCTGGGCTCAAGCGAGTCTTCTGCCTCTGCCTCCCAAGTAGCTGGGACCACAGGCACCTGCCACAACACCCGGCTATTTTTTGGTTGCAGCTGTCATTGTTGTTTGGCAGCACAGGCTGGATTTGAATCCGCCACCTTGGGTGTACGTGGTTGGTGCCTTAGCCACTTGAGCCACAGGCGCTGAGCCTTTTCAGAGTTTTTTTAGATGGTCTAGTTCCATTATCTTTCAGATTTAGAATCAGGTTGTTCATTTCTACAAAAAGTCCTGTGATTTTGATGGGATTGCATTGAATCTATATAGCAGTTTGGGAATAATTGGTAACTATATTCAGTCTTCCAATCATATTGGTAGATTTTTAACGAAAACATTTAGAGACGGTGAAGAGAACACTAGCGCTCTCTTCAGCCATTTGATAATAAATCATATTGATGTTAACTCTTAAAGAACAAGCAATTAATTTAATGCTCTGAAAATACTTTTTACTGTGGAAAGAATCTTCAGCATCATAGAGGAAGGAGATTCCAATTTTTTCCTTTTCAAAGGTTTTATCTGAAACCACTATAAGATAGCTGACTCAACCCTTAGAAGAAGGAAAAGGGAAAAGTCGGACAGGCTTCATAAGTAGGGCCGGTCTCTTTGGCACCTAACTGCCCTGGATAGAGATTTTCTAATGTTAGGTCTGTAGATCTTCAAGTTAAGAAGGAAACTACCAAAGAGGACTTAGGACTCCCTGTA